TCCAACGGTCAGGATAAGAGCCTGATTCCATAGAGAGGGTAAACAGTTTAAGGAGAAGAAGTGGAATATCTGGACCACCATATTTGTAGAGAAATTATGAAATCCCGTCTGCTCCGTAACCTTTCGAAACCTTGAGCTTATTTATAACCTTACTAATTTTTAGACTTAATTGAGTTACCAGTCATGCATATAACTCTAGAAACAGAGCCATTTATGGATACTTTGACATTTGCAGAATTACACTGAAAAGGTCTGCTATAGTTTTTGGATCATATATTAAACTATTATTATACAGGATGCATGGTATATCAACCTTTTGAGTTGATTTAGCACGTTTATTGTAAAGGTGGATTAGGTTTTGCACTTTTGAGCTAGTGCTTAGTGCTAATAGCTCTTCATTAATGGCTTCTAACCTATGTTTCTCTTTTATTTGGTTAAAAATTATTGTTATTTGTGTGACTGCCGTGAAGTCGTTAGATTTAAAATAACGTTTCTTTAGGCGTCTTAGTTTATTACGATATTTAGCTGGTATATATAATTCGTAATGTTTACTAATCCTGTAAGTCTTAATTGGTGCACAGGAGTCTAGACTAGAGCTAACAATCAAATAGAATATGTTGATGGCATCTGTCAGACTATTACATGAGAAGAACTCATCCCAGTCTGAGAGTTTGATCAGTGAGCGCAAGAGGTCCCAGTCCGAATGCTTATAGTCTGTAAAATTGCAGGTTCCTTGAATTGGTCGGTTGTAGGAGGGATGGATGGGGAGAGCACAAGCTACTATCCTATGATCACTGCTTTCAAACTCGTTGTATACTTGTACAGATAGGGGAATGATATCTCTATCAAATATTAGAGCAAGTGTATTATCACCCCTTGTTGGGGTACGAACCCACTGTGACCAGCAGTACAGATTAAGGATTGATAGAAATTCATCATTGCTTGACTGACAACTACCGGTACTCCAGTTAATCCCAGGATAATTGAAATCACCAGTGATAATCTTAGCGCTGAAGTTTAGTATAGATTAGTGTCTAAATGCATTGACAATAAGATCATTCAAATTATCAGTACTATCAGGAGCTCTATATATACAACCTAGGAGTAGACTATGGTTTAGGGTATTGATTGATATCCAGATCGATTCTGGTAAACTATTCAAGATACTATCTTCAACTTTATTAGTTGTTAAGGCATCCAAAGCAAATATAACACAACCGCCTCCTCGCTTAGTTTCTCTGTCACAGCGATAGAGTCGATAGTTTTGGATATTTAATTCGGAATCGGCCACTGCTGGATAACACCACGTTTCAGTGATAAGTATAAAAGAAGGCTTGGCTAGAAAGGCTAAGGTTCTCAAGGCTGAAATTTTGTTCAGAAGTGAACGTGCGTTAATAAGTAATAAGTTTAAAAAGAGAGTGTGTAGTGTAAAAAACCGAGAGCATCCTAATTGATGGTATGAGTTCTAGCTATGCCTGGACTATGGTTTAATGTGTTTGCCGGATCGCATGGGCTATAGCATGAGCGAATTGTAGTGCTAGTGGAACAAGGGATCTCTGGAGGCCAAAAAATCCTTATTTTGGTAAGGATATACTTGTTTTGTTGGACTATTAAGACAGGTGCCTGCATGTTGGGGTTGCGTTAATGGTGCATAACCTAGTATACCATCTTCCCCACTGCAAGTGTGATGATAAGAGTTACATCTTGCAGGTTTATTATTTATAACATTCAGGAGAAACCATGCGGCACGTTGGTTCATTGCCGTCTGTCAAATAGTAGGCCTGCTTACATGATGGTTGTAATGGACGTCTCGTGTAACGTTTGAACGAAACGTGTCCTTATAACCTCTCTTACGATGAGTAGGGTTAAGCATGCTTTTAGAAATTATACTTTTGTTTGGTAAGACCGTTGAAATATTTTTGGTATTCGGTCTAGAACCAGAAGGATTTTTATTTACTTTCTTCTTAATTGGTATATTCTTTTTAGGTTTAGCAGTGCTTTTATGAGCCTTCACAATAGAATTAAGTGTTCGATCCTTGGCTTCCGATATTACACTGGAAAGAATAACATTAGAGTCTACATCAGATATGTCATGGTTATCTAGGACCACTATGGGTATGAGAGGCAAACTAGCATACTGCATTGGTATATCAGTACATGAGATAGATTAGCTAACATGAGATAGATTAGCTGCACCAGTGGGTTCAGCTTCTGGCGCGATCACATTTGTTCTGACCTCAACAATGTTATTTTCGTTCATGGTACGCTTTTGTGTTAGTCTTTGATTGGTGGTTTTGTCTGAGACTATACGAGCGCATTCAAACTTCGTATGCGCACAGACTAGCTGTTCAGATTCTTTCAAACGTTCCGCTAATAAATGGGAATCAAATCTAAACAGGATAGGGCACGAGTATTTTTGATGCTTCTTGTTAAGTCGGATACATTGGCATGGATTGTCCTGGAGATTAGCTGCCTCTAGTATCGAGTTTCTTACGGTCTTAATGGCAACTTTGTCCGGTATATTATATATAATCACATTATTTCGAGAGATTATTCGCTTGGTGACTTCGCTAGCTATCAAGTCAATAACGGATTCTACTTTGATCTTGTCTTCGAGTTCAGAAGTAACTATATCCTTGGACAACAGCGGTCGAAGGGGTGACAATGTCTTTAGTTCTAGTTTAAGATCATCATGCTTTAATAAAGAGCCCGCAAGTGACTCTACTTTAGAACGCATATCACTTAATTGCTTAAAGACAGCGGCTAATTCGCTCTTAATAAGATCGATAGCATCTGTTCGTGAGTTAGAACTCATTATTAGGTTACACATAGAGTCATCCAGAAACATGTGTGGAATAAATCTACTCACTATTATCTGGTGCAACAGGAGTTGCAGAGCATGGGGTAAAGGTAAGAGCAAAGTTGTTAAAATCTGAAGAAATATGACTTTTTCGAGATCGTTTTTGTGTCAGTCTAACCACTATTCATCCAAGAATGAACTGAATGTTATTATTGATTTCTAAACTACGGTTTAACGATATATAAGCACTTTGTAATAAATACCGTGTGATCGTAACGCAGACTTCAAACATACCGCAAAAGTCAATCAATTTTGTTCGAGCAACTAAGCACAAAAAAAGTTTTGTTCAGTACGAAATTGCTCAGAAGTGCACACACATCACTGTGACGCGGATTGCACACGTGAATGTCGTGTCGTTCATTGAGCACATAAATCACTCAACACTGTTCAGTCTCATATTAACTGACAAATTTATATTCGTTTCCATTTGTACTGTATGTAAGAAAGAGCAGTGTGTGTCATATTTTATTTTACGTCTTATATCATCTCAACTCACAATGTGGACAGAATACAAAGAAGAGGAAATACAACTTACGATTATTCGGCCGGGTCTTCGCAACTATTTTCCATTAATTTAACTAAAAAGTACAGAAATCCAAGTCGTCAGATTCGTCATAATGTCAATGTTGTCATTCACTCAAAGAATTTAAACTTACGGTAGTCGTTCATGCTTGAACACAGGAGTTCCGTATCGTAATCTAAATAATTCATAGAAGAACACTGATTAAAATTTTCATAATGTGTATATGAAGTATATGGGTGATTGTTTCAAATTGATTTACTGTGATGAATTTCATCAGAAAGCAAATATTGAAATGAAGCACATTTAACGTGGCATAAAATTTATGCATCCATTAGCCAGAACAGTCTTCAATTGATCGAGAATCACAAGTCCTCGTAAAGAATTACTGAGAATTACGCATTTCGATAATGTAATAAGAAGACGAAGATTATCAGAACTATGTGATATATAAGCGCAATACATTTCGAACAATCTGATCACACATGTACTTGTTAAGAACATTTATATATATTACGCATTTGGCAAAAAGAAATTTTGCACCAATGATATTTTCTATGCTTTCGACTTCTGTTTCGCACTCAGAATTTTATTATTACGATCATGATTACTACTAGTCGTTCCGAACAATCGTGTTCATACAGTTAAGAAAAATAATCATATCAAATTATCACCATTCTCCGACAGTTGAAATCGTCGAGCATTCGCAATCACTGCCAAAGAGTCAGTAGTTAGATTATGAAAGTTCGTCTGTTCTCTGTCTGATGTCCCTAAGTAGAATCTCGTGAAAGTCGGTATCGGTGTGCTCAGCTTAAAAGTGTTTCAAGTGTACACGTATGTGAGAAGCTGTCATATCTAGTGCACTGGAATTCCTATTAATCAACGAGGATTAATCGACGCATGAAAATCGTTGTTTAAAATGAAATCCTGAAACATATATATAGATGTCGTATTATCTCCATCACAATCATAGTCGTGCAATTTCAAGTGATTTCCGAATGATAATGAAGTCAGTTATTAGAATAAGTAAAAACCATATGATCGAGGCATTGTGTATACATTTACTTACCGAAAAAATCGTCACCTGGAACATATTCACCTACAAAAGTTGGAACAAACAACACCCAGGTCTTTATCATTGTCGATGCCTGTCTATATCTAGTATATATTTTTCTCACTGCCGAACACGGGTGGGAAAAATAGTATGATGTTACAGCTACATTCCGGTTAAGCAATCTAATCTTCAATATCGAGAACATATTGACAGTCTGAATTTCGATACGGTTGAATTCTTATGATAATCAGAAGTATTTGAATTGTAGTATAAACTAGTAATCCCAGGAATAACTCAGTTTAATCAAGAAGTATAAGATGAGCCCGAACGAATGTATTGTATTTGGAATTCAAAATTACAACTACCATCAATACGAAGTCATTGATTTATTTAAACACCACATCCGCCACAGCTCGAATTGGAGTGTAAGTGTCTGTAATCTATTGCTCATCCTCTTCTTAAGTTCATCTTACATCTGTCCGACGGTGTATTGGATGTAGAGTCTGTATTATCTAGAATGCACTCATTAGTATTAGAATTAACAACTGAAATCAAAACAGACTCACCTGGATTCTGGTATTGTATTTGATCAACATGTCTGTTATGTATAGTCAAGTCTTTGATATCCAGAATTCGTACCATAGATTTTCCAACATTCTTCACCACCATCCCCGTGGCTGGTCGAAGATCATAACCACGATAATATGTAACTTCTGCAAACTCCCAACACCTCATATTCGAACGGAGAATTCTTCCTTTTAATAGCTTTGATGGAGTCTCTTTCGTCACAGAATGCTCAGCATTTCTATATTGAAGTAGAAATGTATCTACTCCCCTCTCCAGTTCATTAAATGTCGAAGCAGCAATAGAATCAATAGCAATTTTCAATGTTCTTACGAAATTTTCTGCCTGACCATTAGAACAAGGGTGCCTGGGAGCCGTAAACAGATGTCTGCACCCTATACCATTCAACCAATTAGTGATTGCATCTGCAGCAAAATGAGAGCCATTATCAGTGACTAACACCATCGGAACTCCTTCTCGACTAAACACCTTCCTTAATGTTTGGATTGTGAAGTCAGAATTTGATGAAGTTGTGAAAAAAACTTCAGACCACTTAGAAAAAGAATCAATAACTACAAGTGCATAGTACTCGCCAAAAAATGAATCACAGTAGTCTGCATGAATTATCTGCCACGCCTCAGATGATACTGGTCATGGAGTCTACTTCGAAGACAGACTTTTTAGGCATGACTCTTGTTCTTCACCCCATTTGAATGAATTGGATGTCAAGTTATTAAATAAACAGTTGGCACGACAAGAAAAATTAGGAATAAAACGAGAATAGTACTGAACAGCACCCACTAGTGAACGTAATTCTGTGATATTTTTTGGAGACGGTGCATTTGTCAGTGGGGCTAGTCGTTTCATATCTGGTCAAAACCATTACCATCAACTAGGTATCCAAGGCATTCAAAACTAGATACACTAAATGAACATTTATTTGGATTCACTGTAATATTGTTCTCAATCAAGGACGCAATAAAGCAATAAGTCTCTGGTCATGAACTACTTTATCCGCACCATGAACAATGAGATCATGATAAACTTCAACACCTTCAATATCGCTGACTATCTTATTCATGACCTCTTGAAATATGGCTGGAGAACAACTAAGACCAAATGGAAGGAAGTTGTATTTGAACAGACCAAAAGGAGTGTTAATTGTTGTCAAGATAGATGAAGATTGATCTAAAGGGATTTGAAGATAAGCATCTTTCAAGTAAACTTTCGAGAACACTTTAGAACCATGAAGTCGATTTAGAATATCTTCAGCTTCCATCGTCGTGCATGTTTGCTTCAACAAACGGAAGTTCAGTGTTAATCTGTAATCACCGCATATTCTAGGGGTCTTGCCATCCGACTTCAATGGCGTAACAATAGGAGTACCCCATGCTGAGGACTGAACCGGTTCAATCATACCTTTCGTACACAAAACGTTCAGTGACTTATGTACTGCTTCTCGAAGATCATAAGGAATTATTCGTCTTTTAAGAAAGACTGGATCACCCTGTACTTGAAGTTTTATGGGCTGAATTTTCATACCTCCACTACACTTAGCACACACAGCTATCAAATCCTTGAGTAAAGCATCAGAATTCTCTGTAGAAACTAGTGGAGACAATTCCACTTTAAGCCCTTTCAAATTTTTTAAACCCAGTATGGACAGTCCTGTTTCACTAACTAAAAATTCACAAGGTAAGTAAGAAGAATTATAATTTCTTATTAGCAATTAACAACATCCTCGTATAGGTAGTCTGTGTCCAATAATCCCCAGTATTGAGACCTTGTGGTGGACCAGACAATATATAAAAGCAAAAGATATCAACGAAGTTAATAACAGCCAATAGTAATATTAATATATACAAGTTAAATGTTACCAATACAATAAATAATGGGACTTTACTTAAGTTCACCCAAAATGATGCGTGTTCGGCTTTGATCTGGTACAATAGATCCACAATTATAGATGCTTAGTAATTCCAAACGTATCGATGATCTCCCCAGTATTGTAATCCAAAGTAAGATATGATGTATTCACTTTCTCAGTCTATGAATGTAAATAATATTTGTTTTAGAACTAAGTTAACTCAATCTCGAATGAAAACAGAACGAGGGATGTGTGAGTATTAATGTATTTATTAGCCAGAAAGAAGATGTCACGCTATGTTGGAATCACAACGGAAAGTGTCTTCAAGGTCATTGACTAAAACAACATGTACAATCATTTAATGATGAATGTACATACAGTGAAAAATTGACAAAACAAATACAAATAATATTAAAAACTATTTACAAAATAAGCTTGTCGGTCATATCTCCACATAGCTCCCTCCAGAGTGTCCAGAGGCAACACTGGTTACAATAAGAATAATAAAAAATTTTGTACAAAAAAGAAATAATATTTACAAAAATAATCAATTAACAATGTGGAGATGCGTATCACATGTATGTTAATAATATAAAGTGTGTTATTGCGTGAAAATAGCGGTGACGTGGTATAGCATGAAAAACAAAAGTAATCAGAACACCGTCATTTAAGATCTTGGTTTGCTAACAATGATAATAATGTGCAAAACTGTTAATCATCCACATACACACACAAAAAAAAATTGAACAGTTTATTTTTGTGTACAATGAATAAATAATTAAACAGAGTTTAAAAGACTAGTATTTGAACGAAGAATATTCTTTTCGATAAATTCTCTTCAGGTTCTACAATTATATATCCAAATTAATAATCTGAAAAAATGGCCAGGTTAAAGGCAAAGTACATCGTTTAATGCACGTAAATTTAGGAATGTCAAATCAAATACAATTAAATTGTTAATGTTGATATGACTCATATAGAATGTTAACTTGAATCTGTATATAAGTAAAGTGAAAATTTAAGATCTGTGATCAGAATATAAATATGGGTCAGATAGGGTGAGAGAGAGATATATGATAGTGCAATTACAATTCGATCAAGTGTGAAAAATTAGTGCGACGTAATAAAAAGGGATCAATGCGATGTGAATGAATCATGTTTAGGGGGGATTAATAATGATATTTAACCAATAATAATAATAATAATAATAATAATAATAATAATAATAATAATAATAATAAAAATACAAAGATTTGTGAATAAAGATAAGAGAGACAATTACATTTGACTACGAAAGGTCGTAAGAACATAGTCAAATTAGGTCATACAATAGCTAAGATGATTGTTCATTAATTGGCCTTGTGGTTGGCCAAGGGAGAAGTAGGGGTTGGAGATATTTCTTTTGTACATATAGCTCCGGTTTTTCATTTGATGGCTTCTGCCTCCACCGTTTGAAGGACTTTAAGTCTGACAAGCTTAGGCAAAAAGTTACTGACCCTATAAATAATTGAAAAAGATTGGTTTATACTGGCACTATGACCAGTTTGTACTAAATGGGCCAAAATCGAGCTGTTTACTTTCTTCATCAGACCTTTGCTTAGCCACGCTGGGAGGTGTTCACGAGCACGAAAATGTAAATTCCTAGAACTTCGACCAATATAACTTGCTCCACAGGAGCAGTCGAATTGTTAAAGACAAAATGAAGTGGTCATTCTAGGTACTTCATGTTTGAGCCTCGGTGTCACCATTGGACGCGTAGAAAACACCGAACGTAGTTCACCTGCGTTGAAAGATTTCTGGATAGATCTACGTAATCTCTGAGCCAGTATTTCACTAGCGGCATCCCCCCTGAATTGTAAGCGCATGAACAAGGACTTTTTCTTGACCGTTTGGAATTCGCCTATTTTTTTCTTTAAAGATCATATATTTAATTATAAATTTTCTGGGATATCCGTTCTCCCTTAGAGCATTATACAATGTGTTTAGCTCGTTGTCAACTACATCCGCCGGACATATAGTGCGTATTCGAAAGCTAAGGGTTTTGATTAGGTTTCGTTTGTACTGTAGAGGTACAAAGCTAAGGAAGTGTGTATACTGTCCAGTCCACGTACTTTTTCTGTTCATGTTTCTTCTTAACGACCCATCTGATCTCTTAGTTAAGAGGACGTCCAAAAAGGCTAATCGGCCATCACTCTCTTCCTCTGATGTAAACTGGATGGCTGGATGCACTTCGTTAAACTGCCTGAGCACATCTTGTTGTGAAATATTATCTTTACACAGGATAAATGTGTCATCCATATACCTGCAGTAAAATTTGAATTCTTGAATAATCTGTTTCAGATGACCGTTCTCTAATTTAGCTAGAAATATATCAGCTAGTATAGGTCCCAGAGGTGAACCCATTGCCACACCATCTGTTTGTCTAAATATTTCACCGTTGAATTTGAAATTTGCATTCATGGTGCATTTCAGTAATAACTCTTTCAAGACATTAATCGGAACTGTAGTTTCAATTTTATTTTCAATCAGTTGTTCCCCTATATATTCTATGGTCTCTAGAAGTGGGACATTCGTGAATAGTGATGTTACATCCAAAGACATCATCTTTAGTACCAAAGTATTGACATTTTTTACTTTAACCACAAATTGAAATACATCCTTAACACTATGTTTTACCAGCTTTTCGTGGAGAGGTTTCAATAAATTTACCAACCACTTAGCTATAGTATGATAAGGAGAGTTATACATATCTAAAATAGGTCTTAATGGGATCCCCGGTTTGTGTACCGTTGGTAATCCATACAGTCTTGGCAGATAGGTTCCAAGTGGCCGCCTGTTTAAACATCTGGGCTACCTGTTCCTGTCATCTAGATATTTCAACAAGTTATCTAATTTCGTTTGTTTGAATACATCATTATGCCTATTAATCGCACAACCTATTCAAATGCGTTTCTGAAAAGTGTAAGACCTAACGCTGTAAAGGTTACAGAAGGCCCAATCAGAGATATCGTGGTTGCTGGAAATGTGCAGCGAGAAGAATGTACATTATTTAGATGTCGATTGACTGGGTTGCTAACTTCTAACTGGTGATCACTCAATATTTATCGTCAGGAAGGACGAAGAAGTAAGAAAAGGAAACCTGTTGAAGTACTTTGTGCTGAGAATTCTATATTGTACCAAAAATATAATATTGAATAAAGCTAATAATAAAAAAAAATTAATTATAAAACTGGTTTAATAATTTCATATAAACCAGACGAAATAGTCTGGTTGTCTCTGAGCTTCTTCAAAGAACTAGTAAGCTCCTTCTCTATTTTCATATTGAGATCTTTATGGTCAGTTATTTTTTGAAATTTCAATTTGTCATTTAAAATGGTCCCCATTTTATCAATATAATCGTTTTTATTCAGAAGAACCACTCTTGAACCTTTGTCACCTTTCGTAATCAATAACGTCTCATCCTTTAGGAGTACGTTAATCGCTTCCTTATGCCTTTTTGTAGGAATACTTTTGTAATTAAATTTATTGTTTTTATACTGGTAGCAACAGTCCACAAGAGTAGATTCAAAGTGCTCCAGTTGTTGATCAGAATTAGCCACTAAATCACGTGTCTGGCTGTATAGATTCTCAAACTGTATATCGGTATCTATGTGGTTACAACTATTACGGGTATCACAAAACTTTAGACCTAAGGATAATACCTCTAGTTTATCATCATCCAGTTCGACATCCGAGAAATTATGGACATACCTTTTAGAGTCAGTTGGAAATTTGCTTTCAGCTGTGTGATGTTCCAGACCTTTCAAAAGCTGAATGAGTTTCTCCCCTGATCTATGATCCATAACATTAGTAACATAGTCCATGAACGGTATTTTCAAATCCTCCGTTAAGTCATCCACTGCACACTTTCTGCGGAAAACATTCATCTGTATCTCATTCATGTCTGAATGCAGGGCGTCGATCTGATTAAGGGTGTGACGTTTCAGCGTTTTCCGATTGGGGTAGACACCGTTGCGTCGCAATGATGTATAGTATAATTTCGGATAGTGACCTGACTCGATGCACTTGTTGATAAAATCAATTGTAGTTTTCGTTTCAGTGAACTTTACGTTATACTTCAGGAACTCATTGAGCACCTCTTTATTACGTCGCACTAATTTTTCACACTTGATCTAATTGTAATTGCACTATCACCCTTCTTCTCCCTTGGCCAACCACAAGGCCAATTAATGAACAATCATCTTAGCTATTGTATGACCTAATTTGACTATGTTCTTACGACCTTTCGTAGTCAAATGTAATTGTCTCTCTTATCTTTATTCACAAATCTTTGTATTTTTATTATTATTATTATTATTATTATTATTGGTTAAATATCATTATTAATCCCCCCTAAACATGATTCATTCACATCGCATTGATCCCTTTTTATTACGTCGCACTAATTTTTCACACTTGATCGAATTGTAATTGCACTATCATATATCTCTCTCTCACCCTATCTGACCCATATTTATATTCTGATCACAGATCTTAAATTTTCACTTTACTTATATACAGATTCAAGTTAACATTCTATATGAGTCATATCAACATTAACAATTTAATTGTATTTGATTTGACATTCCTAAATTTACGTGCATTAAACGATGTACTTTGCCTTTAACCTGGCCATTTTTTCAGATTATTAATTTGGATATATAATTGTAGAACCTGAAGAGAATTTATCGAAAAGAATATTCTTCGTTCAAATACTAGTCTTTTAATATGGTTGGGATTTTTAACGATTAAAATAGAGTTTACCCGTTTATTATTGTAACAAACTTTTTGAAAAAAAAAATGTGACAAAACGAATTATTGCAGACAAATGTGATTATGTACACTGTTGAAAGGAAATTTTTTTAGATGAGATTGATAGTGTAGGTCCTCGATAATTGTTTGCTTTGTTTGTTTTAGTTGTTTTTTTATATGGCAAAATGTACATAACGCTTTGATTTTTTATAAGTCTCTTAGATCGTGTTAAACAATAGGGTGTAATGCTAAGTTTTTCCTCTTCCTCTTGTTTCTTAGCATTTGATGGGAGTGATTGTTTGTTCGCAGTATTGTCGTCTGCGGCTTGAGTAGCCTCGTAGAAAGCTGATTTTATTCGGTCTATGGAAATTGTTTCATTGTTCCCGTTTTTGTTGATAATGAAATATTTGTGAGTGCGTTTTATTACTTTATACGGACCTTCATATGGTGGTGTCAGTGGCTTTTTCACCGCGTCTTCTC